GAGCAGAGCTGCCACAAGCAACGGGAATGGGACGCTTGCTCCAGCAATCCCAGATCCAAAAGGGTCTGGGGACCAGCTTGGAGCAAGAGGAGCAGCAGAGCTGAGCGGAGGAGGAGGGACAGACAGCATGTGGGGGCCACGATGCAGGCAGAGCATGAGCACACGGCAGCCCGCAGATCCGGCGAAGCCCGAGTCGCAACACAAAACAGAAGCGGCAACGCCAACGGCATCCACCAGCCCGTCCCGAGGACGCGGCCTCGAGAAAGGAAAGAGCCTCTCCGGCAAATCAGGAGGACGATTAATGCTTTCTTCAAGCCAGGCAGACAGAACAACCCACCAACCAAAGCAAATGCCACCAACTCTCAGCCCAGGTCCAGCTTTTAAAGCTCTTCCAGGGCCACCCCCGCTGCCCTCGAGCCCTCCGAGCTCAGGCGCAACGGATCCCTGCCCGCGCCAGCCGGCCGCGCCGGGCAGCGCTCCAGCAACCCCCAGCTCTGTCGCCCCAAGTCCCCATACAGTACTCATGATTATAAGTGCTTTGCATACATAGTTCAACGTCATGCATATACATTGCTATGCGCTAAGGCCCTTGGCTCAGCGGAGACACCGTCCTCCGGCAGCAGAGAGGTCCTTCATTTTGCGTGGGGCTCGCAGAGTGCGTCGGACTCCGACCCCCCCTCTGCTTCAGCTGGCAGGACCCGAGTCTGCAGCAGCCTGGCCAGCTGCTGCCCGCGCGCTTGCACATCGTAGTGGGCGTTCAGCAAACACCGGTGCTGGGTAAGCAGCCGATGACGAAAAGAACCGTATTTACAGAGCTACAGTTAGCTTCAAGGGGTTACGTTTGCGGAGATTCACCGAAGACAGCCGGAAACAACGAGCTGTGCATCCCACAGATTCTGCCGGGAAAAACACGGGTACCAACACGGATTTCACAGCTTAGTTGGCACAGCTAAGGCGAGAGGTTCGTCGCTAACCGGATCCTCCCTCCCCAGACAGCAACACTCCAGAGCTGGTTACGACACAAGGGAACAAGACGGCGAGGGGCACAGCGCGGAGACCTGGGCCGAGAAGCCCCACAGAGGATCGGGTTTCTCCTTCCTAAACGAGTCTCTGCGTGGAAGAGCAGCACCCCTCGTACCAGACACCACCGCGGCCTGCAAGATCACCGAGGGACGCGAGAGTGGAGGATGCACACGCTCAGCGGAGCCCCCCTCCTCTGCCTCCTCCGCCATCCCGGCAGGGACCCCCTCGCTCGGAGCCGCGCTCGCGACCGCTCGGCCGGGACGGTGACCGACGCCGTAGCGCACCGAGGAATCGGGAACCTAGCTCTACAGTGACGAGCAGCGGGGCAGCCTGCCAGCGAGACGAGGATCAGACCTGCTTATCGGGGAAAGGGAGGGGGGCTGCACTCGCCCACAGCAATTCAATCACAACTGGAGCCCATCTCCTCGAGGCTGGAGCCCACTGGGAGTCAACAGCCCAGCCTTTCTGTCCCATCAGCCAACACGGGTTTCAGCTACTGACCAAAAGGGACACCGGGAACGGTCACAGACATCTCAGAGGCTCTGGAGGGGCAGGAGCACGGAGACTCAACTATACAGGGTGCGAGAGTCCAGAGCCAGAAAGCAGCGCCCTGGGGAGAAGCTGAAGGCAGCTGTCGCGTGGCGCACGGGCTGCTCATCTGGCCGGGGGCTGGGACAGGACCGGGTGAGCCAGCGTGACGTTCAGCGAGTCATTGTGCTGCACCAGCGACGTGTGCTTGTAGTGCAAGACCAGGTCCTTGAGGGAGGCGTAGAGGTTGTAGGGTTCAGCGAAGCCGTAGCCGGTCGCCGTTTTGTAGATCACGCAGTGCTTGGTGTCACCGTCCACCCTGCCAGGGAGACAAGGGAGCAACGGGTCAGCACGGGGAGCCGCGCCGGGACAGGGACAGCAGAGCACAAGCGGGCGTCACCGAAGCAGCCTGAAGATACAGCTGGTGCTGGCAGGAGGAGCCGAGGCAGACGGAGAGCTCGGGGAAGCCCAGCCTGCCAGCTGCCGCCTCCGCCAGCCCCCAGCATCTGGAGAGCCGTGCGGGAGCCAGCTCCGTCCCACCACGCGCGCTCGGGGGTACTCACACCACGGAGCAGGCGTAGCATCCCTTCTGGCTGCTCTCGCGGATCAGGAAGGTGCCGTCCCGCTTGCCGCACAGCATCTCTTCCGCCTGCAAGCGGTTGATCTTCCCCACGTACCACGTTCGCTCCTCGTGGTGGGGCAGCTCCTCCTCGTCGTCCATCATGGAGTACTGGCTGCAATTGAGCACAGGCAGGGTCAGACCCCCTCGGTTCAGGCACGTGGCCCCCAGATGTCCCCTTGCTC